GATCAATACAGCAGCAGTTGGACTAAGCAGCAGAAGGAGAGCAGAAGAGGAGCCGGTATGAGACAGAGCAGGAGACCTAATAAGCAGATAAATACCAGGAGACCAAGAAAGAACGAGTAGCAGATGGAGACAACGCAAGCGGGAAACCTAAGTAGCAGATGGGGTCCAAGAGAGGAGAGGCCATGGACGCTTGCTACACTTAAGTGTTATGAGCTCAAGTCATTAGTGGCGGCACTGCATGTCACGTCTCGGGTGGTACAACAGCAGCAACAAACACACACACACACTAACACACATGCTCCGGCACTGCATGTCACGGCTCTGGTGGTACAACAGCAGCAACACACACACACACATGCTCCGGCACTGCATGTCACGTCTCGGGTGGTACAACAACAGCAACACACACACATGCTCCGGCACTGCATGTCACGTCTCGGATGGTACAACAACAGCAACACACACACACACACACAGGAATCGAATGTTTCTGAGACGGGATACAGGAACAAGGGGACACAACTTGAAGCTGAAAACCCAAGTGCGTCATAGGATGTTAGGAAGTATTTCTTTAGCCTTAGAGTTGTCAGGAAGTAGAATAATCTGGAGAGTGAAGTAGTGGAAGCAAGTTCCATACATAGCTTTAAGAGGTGAATTAGTATCGACCAGTGAAGAGACAGGGCCAGGAGCTATGAATCGACCCCTGCAACCACAATAGGTGAGTACACACACACACACACATGCTCCAGCACTACATGTCACGTCTCGGGTGATACAACAGCAGCATCACACATACACAAATGCTCCGGTACTGTATGTCACGTCTCGGGTGATACAACAGCAGCATCACACACTGACGATCCGTGTCACTGTTATCAACGTTTGCAACGAACTACTGGAAACATTTGTTGAATGTTAAATGTTGAGGTAGTTTGTCAATTGCTCCATTCTTGCCTCCTTACATTATATATATATATATATATATATAATATATATAATATATATATAATATATATATATAATATATATATATATATATATATTATAAACCAAGGGCTGGCATGCAAGACACAATGAGGTCAACGACATCATTAAGAGAACCCTTGCTACAGAAGGTTGTCCAGCCGAGAGGGAGCCCCGATCACTAGCAGCCAACAATACCCACAACCCAGTAAACCGCCCCGACGGGATCACCATCTATCCTTGGAAGAATGGCAAGCTCTTAGCATGGGACTATACCTGTGTGTCCACACTGGCTGACACCTATATCTATCACAGTGTGGGGCGACAGGGAGGAGCTGCTGACCACAGGGAGGAGTACAAGATCAGCAAGTACAGGGACATAAGCCAACAGTATCAATTTGTCCCAGTGGGATCAGAGACCTTGGGATCATGGGGAAAAAATGTCACACGTTTCCTTAAAGAATTGGGTTCCAGACTCATCGACTTCACCAGGGACCCAAGGGCGGCCACTTTCATGTTCCAGCGCCTCAGCGTGGCCATCCAAAGGGAAAATGCTTGCTGCATACTTGGCTTGCGTCCGGCTTGGGAGGAACTGGAGGAAATTCATGATCTTTGATACATTATGCCATTGTATTAATGTTTGTTTTTCTGTAAATGTATTCTGTTTATTAATAAATGTTCACATAGAATATCAAATATAGGGGTGGTAGGAGAAGAAAATATTCAAACAGCTCCAGGGAGAACCTTGAGTTTTCCCTGAGGTACGATTATTGTCTTCTCTGAGGATGAGGGTCCCCAGTACAGCCATAGAGGTGGTACTTCCCTGTATATATATATATATATATATATATATATATATATATATATATATATATATATAATATATATATATACACGCACACACACAGTAATAGCATAATTATGGATTATACACAAATAACCCCCACATAGGAGAGAGGAGATTACGACGACGTGTTGGTCCGACTTGGACCAGTAATAAAGTCACACTAACAGAAAGAAGAGAAGAAGGCAGTATGTGCGGGTTATTTATGTATTGTTCCAGTCACAATATTGTTCCTTTTCTTTCATAATTATGGATTTTTTTAAAAATTCGATTATTTTTCTACTAAAAGGTCAATTAAAACAATTTCACTGACTACGGATTTATACTGATACAGTTGATTCTGGTAGATTCTGGTTGATTCTGGTAGAATGAAACCAAACTTTAATAAGGTGTTCTGTGAGCTGCATATTGGTTGTAATGGGAACTTTGTGTATTTCATCCTTCAGTACATATCGTAAACTCTCAACAGGGTTCATGACTCACGACATCGTAATGACACGATTGCAAACCACACCACGGGTGGGGTTAGAACCCTCGATCAGAGAGTCACAAAACTCCAGACCGTCGCGTTAGCCACTGGAGCAGTACAACGCCAGTTTGTGCACATCACGTCTTTACTGATTTTGTCGTGTGACATGGGGCTGATCCACCATGAGGCCTGGTCACAAACCGGGCCGCGGGGGCGTTGACCCC